AATTTAATCAAATATCCCAAGCAAATTGAGGAAAACTCACTGATTCACCCAAGTTCTCCCCTCTCTCTGAAGCAACTCTTTCAGAAACAGACATAGCAGATATTCGTCTAGGCTGTGTACATATAATACTACAAACAGCTCCACGAACAGCTTCTATTTCAGATTCTAGAATGAATTGTGGAATTTGAGTGGTCTTGCCACAGCCAGTTTCACCTGATATGATAACAACCTACACATACAAAATTATGCTCATCAAATGTTATCATCTCATGCTTTCAACACTACGTGCCAAAATAATTATTGTCGAGTGGCACGCTAGCATATTTGAATTAAAAATAATTGCATGATTTGCATGTATCAACATCTACTACCTTAACTTTGAAAACAAAAATGATTATGCCACTCATGAGAAAAAGAGCTGACCCTCAACACACACCAAACCAAATTGTAAAACCAGGACCAAAGTCAGATATAACATCTTGCAAACTTGGGGAATTGAATTTTCATGATAAATAATGACTAACCTGATTTCGTGAAATTGCAGTCAACAATGCATCCTTCTCTTTATAGGCAGGGAGACTTCTCCGAAGTTCCAGCATTTTTCTACCTTCAGGAGATTCCTGTAAAAAATTAGAAAAATATTACATATACGTAGAATAAAGAACATGATTCATCTTATAAGTGATAACTGAATGCCAATCATGCTGAGGAATCTGCCAAGGTAAGACAAACCTGCCAAGCTTGTTGCTTATCACGCAGCTGCAAGCTTCTCCGCCAAAGAATTTTTTCCATTACAACCTTACTAGACGCCAATGATTCTGGTTGCTCAAAAAGCCCTTCATCAGTAGCAATGCTGCCACTACTGTTTGATCTAGAAAAGGAAGCATCTGGAAGCCCTTCCTTCCTCCTAGACTTCTGAGAAAGGAATTCTCCAAGATAGCCCTCAACTCTCCTCAGCAACCCAAGAGGCAAGGTCACCTTTCAATTTATTAAAAAATATATATACATATCACTCAAGAACCGTCTAGTATGAATTAAAAAGAACTCGGGCATTTGAAAAAAAATCATCAGGTCTAAGAAACAGCAAGTGAAATGGTGAAGCACATGGAGGCAAGAAATGAGTGTTGTCAACAAAAGCACTGTTAGCTCTAGAACTCAAAGTGAAAAAAAGGCAGTATGTCTTGCATGAATTAAGATTATGTTAAACAGAAACAATAAGGAATTACCTCTCTCTGAGGGCGCCTGTCATCAAGGTCAAATCTGTAGTTTGGCAGTGGGACCTTACTAAAGACAGCGACTTTTGCATATAAATGGCTGTCAAAAATTCTCACAATCAGACTTTTGTGAAGTTATTGAAACACTTACAGCTCACAAAAACAGAAGATACCTATAAAGCCCCATTCTGCTTGCCAAAACAGCTATTTTCTCAAAATCACGTCTATCTTTTTTCTCCCTTGAAACTAACTCTTGCTTCTCCTTGTCACGTAACAGCATTGTTAGTCTCCGTTTCCAATCATCAATGTTATCAGACGGGGAAGCACCCTGAGTCTGCATTATTAAGAAAAACAAATACCATTAACATTTACATATGCAAGACTCACAAAATGGATAGGAATGAATTCACAGCAACACAGAAGAAAGTAAATGAAGATTCTCTACTAAGCTAGCAAAGAGAAGTTATACACCACATAAGTCAAACACCTAAAAAAAGGTCCCAGGTAAGGCGGTTAATTCCTCAACGATTATAAAACCCACTTCGAACAATTACATGCAACTCATATCAAAAATCGACATAGCATTTCACATAAGACTTGGTAAACTGAGCACGACTCAATTAACAAACAAGTTAAGAGCTTAAAGTGAAACGCCCAACTTGCACTTCAAACTTCAGAAGCTGAGCCCTAACTGAAACCTAATCAGCATTTCAAACTGAGTAACACACCACGAATTCCCCGATTAAAAACCCTACGCATGCACATATACATATAAAACCTCACCGGACGCGATGGCAACTCAACTTCGCGATCGGACCCTTCCTCAGAAACGCCGTCGTCGTAAGCAGAATTGTGCTGCAACTTGGGCTTCTGCAGCTGCTCCTGCTGCTGAGTCTGGTAGTAAGTCAGAGTACCATTGGTGCTCCTACGGTTCAGAGCAGCACTCTGGTTCTCGCGGAGCTTGGAGCCAATTGAAGCAGCAGAGGTGTAATTAGGGCTAGTGATGACTGACCGGAGGCGATGGTGCGGAGGAACGTAAACGGCGCCGTACGAAGACGGAGGCCGGTCCTTCATCGCGAGGAGTGAGGGAGAGGGTGAAGGTGAGGGTTTGAAGGCAATGGGTTTGGGATGTGAAGGTGCGGCGGCGAATTGGAGAGAAGGAGATGGAAGAAAGAGAAAAGCTAGAGATGATGAGGGCATGCAAAGTGAGAGCAGAATGGCGTCGTCTGGAGATCAGAGGAATATGAGCTTTGTGTTTGTTTCCCGGAAGAAATGGTGAACTCCGGAAGAGAAGACAAAAGAAGAGCTTGTTTAGTATTTTACTTTGAGTGCGCACGTCAGCGCTTCCGTTTGGGCTACGAACTGGATCTTATGCTCTGGGCCTCTGGCATATACGAACTGAACTGATGCCATTGCTTTTCCAGCTTTCCGACATTTTTAAATAATTTTAGATTGAGCGAATTTGAATTTTATTTTGGGAGATTCACTATTATACCCAATATGGGGTTGAAATTATAAAAATACTCCATATAAAATGGGATTTAGAAATACATCCAAAGCTCATTTACAGCATAACAAAAAAGCTTTTAACTTCTTATAAATTACAAAATTGCCATCAATTTCTTAAAACAAGCTCAACTCCAAAATCTCATAAAAATACTCAAAATACTTAATAGGATATCAAAGTAATTTAATAATTAATATTAAATTCAATAAGACCAGCTGTCATTTTTTGAGTTTTTTTTTGTTTGTTTATATAAATTCAATTGTGTATGGTTTATTTATAATATTAGTGCTAGAAATGGGTATATCACTAAATATCTCTTTTATTTTGGTGAAGTGGGAGAAATTTTTATTTTAGATTTGGTAAAAAGTACCTATATATCTCCACTCCCCCTAAAAACCAAAATATTGTAAGTTCTATATTATATTTTCTTTTCATTTCTTTTCGAAGTTCAAACAAATGTAAAAAAGAAAAAGTATGTCGAGAGAGAGAGAGAGAGAGGTGCTTAAGAAATGGACATGGTTGTGGAACTATCTCAAAGTAACCATACTAGAATGAGATTTGACCAAAAATGAAAAGAAAAAAAAAGAGGAGAGAATTATGAGATCACTTCAAATAAGTTACGGCCTTGAAAACTGAAATCTAGCAATGAATTAAACATAACTTCCATAAATACAAAACAAAGGAAGTAGGAAGCATGTCTCGGGAAAAAAAAACATACGGTAAAGCAAGAAACAATCTCAAAAATCACAAGGTGCTTCAAGAAAATTAACTTTGATAAATAGGAATAGGGTTATCTACTGTAGGAGTCCTTCTGTGGTGCATCAGCTGTACCGGTACAGCCACTCACGTGACTTTTTTTAAAAAAACAAGGGAAACCTGTTGACCCGGTCAACAGGTAAATGATTTCACGCGCTGCTCCTAACGTCAATAGGTAAACGATTTCACATGCACACTTAGTCGACGTTCTTCTTCCGCAAAGTGGTCTGGCTCAACTTCAAACGGATAATCTTCATGGTCTTCAAAGTCATCTTCTTCAACTCCTCTTCTGTAGAATGTTTCTTCCTCCTATCTGTAACCTCTCTCTCTCTTCTTTGTCATCATTGTAAAAAACCCCATATTCTAGGGTTTGGATTTTGGGGAAAATTTTAGGGTTAGCATTTCGGGTTGATAATAGGAATTGGAATTCAGTTGTTCCAGTCATTGGTGGGTTGTTGGCGCTCCTCTCGTCTGCAATCGAGCCCTTGTGAAAGCATTTGGTATTAGTTCCTTGTGAAGGTAAGTTAACACTATGTTTTATGTTATTGTTAATTGAAATTCTTTGGTGATGAATTAGGGCAAGAGGGGAAGTAGGTTTCTCACATTCATGAGATGAAGTGGGTTTCTCATTCTGAAAGTGTTGTGAGGTGAAGTGGGTATCTCACATTTATGGTTGTAATGTTCATGCAATTGCATATCTCTATATGCAATTACTAATCGCATGTATGCAAATCCAAGCCACTGAATGCAATTACAGTATATAGTTTTGTTTTGAAATTATGCAAGTGAGGAGATTTCGTGGTGGGTAGGTAGGTTTGACTGTGTTTTTGAATTTTTTTTTGGGGAGTAAAGTGTTCCGAAAGTGTAATGTTAGGATTGGTTAAGATTTGGATTGGGATTTGAAATGAGTAAGAATCCCGGCCCAATAGAGAAATGCATGGGTGGGTTGTGTGCATTATCTGTGCAATGTTATAATCGAGGGCTGATGCACTTGCAAATAGTGTCGTGCAATTGCATATTAGTATATGCAATTACTAAGCGACTGTGTTCAAATCCAGGTCCTTGTATTTTTTAATTAAGCAATATGATATTGTGGTGTTTACGGGGTTTAGGGGGTTTAGGGGGTTTAGGGTATGGATTAGTATTCAAATTATCGGCGCTAGAGACAAATGCATGATAGTGTTTTGTACTTGATTTGTGCAAGTTATGGAAGCTCAAAAAAGGAGATCAACGAAAGGAAAGCGCAAGGCTGAAAGTAATGTGCAACAATCAAGAGTTGGCCGAGATGCATTTTTTTAATTTCATGTAAGTTACACGTACATCTAAAAATTGGAAATGTGGTTGCTTATTATTATGATGGTTTTTTGATTAAAAATAAATTATTTACAGGAAAAAAGAACGACATGAAATGGGGAAAGTGGCCAATGCAAAGTTGGACAGTAAGGTAGAGATGACAATAGATTGGGTCAGTTTATTAATTATTTTATTAAAAAGGCTTTATTAATGAGAATTTTTTATTTCTTATGCAAGAAGAGATTGCTAATAAGTGGAGGAAATTGAACCCTAAAGTGAAGGCAATATATGGTTCTGCCTTGGAAGGTTCGAGTGGGCAAGTAAACGACGCAGTGAATGAGATGGGTATTACCAATAGATGCAGCCCAGACTGATTCCATCGTACGGTGGAAAAATTGTTGAATGAGAAGCGGTTAGCAATTAATGATATTGGGTTCGGTAATGTGTCATCTTTGTCCTGCACTCGTTTACACCGCGAACTATGCCAATTTTTGATTCAAAGGTTCAATCCTGATACGTCTTCTATAGAACTGCACGACAATGTGTTTGGAATAAATGCCGTTGAGTTTGGGCGTGTTATGGGTCTTAAGAACACCGGCGAGGATGTTGAACTCGACTCGCCGATAGAAGATGAAAAGGTGAAACAGTTAGTAAAGAGTTTCTGTGGAAATGGCAAGAGAGTATTAGTAAGGGGTTTAGCTGAACAATTGGAAATGTGTGAAAATGTGGATGAGGACTTTAAAGTTTGATTTGTGATGTTTGCACTTGGCACTGTACTTTGCCCGACATCTTCACCATCAGTGACCGGGAACTATTTAACTTTCTTAATGATCCCAGGGAATATAGAGACCAAGAACTGGGCCGATCATGGATTCAACTTCTTATGTGAAGGTGTTAGGTCGTTCAAAGCGAAGGAAGTTGCATATGTAAATGGGTCACTGCTTTTTCTGTAACTATTCTATTTCGATTCAATTGTCCATGATGGAGTATATGTTGATAAGTCTTTGGATCCCATTGTGTCCTAGGACAATAAGTCGGTGTGGAAAATGATTAAATGGGTTAGAAAGCACGGTGGGTTTTGATAGTCCTACCGTTCGGGTTGTTTCAAAGCACCGTCCAACGAATGAAGTGTCCGGAGTAAACCTTGAAAGAATTGTTCAATAAGTTTCTATCAGTTTGGCGCCAGTCATACAGGCCGAGGTGAAGCGATCAGTTGAAGAACTTGCTTTGGGGCCGATAATACAGGCAGAGGTCCAGCGCTCAGTGTTTGAACTCACTGACAAGGTAATGAGTCAAGTAAGCTCCTTCATGAAAGACGCAAGACAACATCTTCATCCAGGACATGAAGATGTAAATCAAACTAAGGAGGACGGGCCATTGAAAATACGAGATGAAGGTGGTGAGAATGTTGTGAAGAAGAAAGGTGAAGAATCTAGCAAATTAAAGGAGAAAGGTGCAGTTGATGTAAACGATCCTTGGACGCCATTACTGGATGGACAGACTTTTAGTGAACCCGAGGTATGATGAGCGATTAAGAGTTTCAAGATCGGGTTTCTTGTTATTTTTTAGATTTATTAAGTATGCATTTATTTACATAGTTGTAAAATATTGAATTTTTTTTTCCTAAATGTAATATTTGAATTCCCTTTTCCACAGTTGAAAATTGGCGTGGAAAAGAGGAAGTTCACAAAATTGGCCCGTGGTGATCAAAGTGGAATTCAAACACGTCGAATGGTCGAAAGGTGTCCAGGGCTTCATTGTATGTCGACCACAGAACCTCAAGTACAGAAAATTCCACCGAGGACAATGCTTTCCGATTATAAACTCACTGATGAGTCAGAAGTCGAGGAAGCACTTAATGGGTACCCAGCTTCGGAATGGCTTGCAAATTCATCCGATTATGCCCAGCACAGAGATGAGTACATACGGTACCGCTACTGTGAGGACTTACATGAAGCGATACATTCTACACTGAACGCGTGTTATGTAATTATACTTGCTGCATGAAATTCATATAATTTTTCAAAATTCTAAAATGATACTTGAATTCCACATGAAAAACAACATCGAACTCCCGAAGGGGCCAATATAAGGGTAGCAAACATCTTTCCTCAGCCATGGTCAGTGCGAATAGCATGTTGGGCCGCCGAAAATGGAAATAAACTTGTGCGGATACCTCATGGGCAAGATAGCCCTGAGCTACCATTACTTGATGGTGTCACGCATGTAAGTAGCTTCCATTGCATAATTTATTAATACATGAGGGCTTCCTGTGGTGATTGTTGTAATTACATGAGCCTTCTTGTAGGTAACTGCTGAAGCTGCAACCGATCTTTTGGAGCTGAATGCTGGGTTGAATGTCATACTATTTTCAACTGCATTGGAAGCAAGCATAGAGATTATGCGCCTACGGCAAGAGAATGTGAGTCAGTTCAGCTTCATTTCATACAGATTTCATAAAATTAACAAACATCACGGATGTTATATTAAAATAACAAACTATGGTATTGAACATGAACGATGTTATATTGTAATAGGAGATATTGAAGAACACATCGGGAACAACCATTGCAAGTTCGGATATTGGTCAACACGTCTTAGATGATGATGCAGAACATGTAAGTTTGTTACTTCCAACCTCCATTGTAAAGTTCGATTTATAAGATGTTCAATTTTGCAATTTAAAATAATATGGTACATTCTGCAATGCAAACCATCATCACTCATGTGCACAACCAAACTGAACAAAATTGGTATGTCAATATTTCCCTTTATGTAGGAGTTTCACACAAAATTTAAATATGACATAGGTAGAAAAGGAAAAACCAAAATTGTGATACAAGAAGAGCATGAAGAAGATGAGGAAGAGGAAGAAGAAGAGGAAGAAGAAGAAGAAGAGGAAGAGGAAGATGAAGAGGAGAATGAAGACGAAGCTTGGATCGAAGACGGGGATGAGGATGAGGATGAGGATGCCGATGAGGACGGGGCCGCAGCTAAGGGTAATCTGGATGCAGAACAACATTCCACAGACCAAAAACGCAAAAGTGAGAAAAGTCTTCGTTCACGTACCCCAAAGAGAAAGAAAACCAAGTAAATTATGGATACAATTACATTTTTTGGATCATGGTATCTTCGTTTTGTAAAATAATATGTTCAGTTTATTGGCCCTTACCGTTTCTCGTGTAGTATATTTCGGTTCATTTTGCGGCCTTCAATTGATAGTACAAAAAATAGGTCTAATTATGCCAGTAAAAAAAATATTGATCCATTTTTCCTCTGTAAGGGTTTGCGCATAGTCACTCTTGCATTGCATTAACGTTGTGCAATTGCATGTTTACAATGCAAATGCCAACCGACTATGTGCAAACTAAAGCTAGCTTCAAAACGCTAACCTAATTAATGTATAATGCAAAGACAAAGAAAAGAAAGTTCCAAATTTTATTAGGACCCTATGTGTATTATTCAATATTAGGGTTAATCACATTTTGGTTTACAAAATTGGGGATATTTTGGAATGTGATTCGCACATGATACGAAATCAAATATAGCAATCCTAATAATTTGTTAAACATGTTATTAGCTAGCTAACATGTTTAAAAACCTATTTAACATGACTCGAACTAGACACGACACGTTGATTAAATGGTTCGGGTTTGAGTTGAGCATTTTAGCCACGACACGATCCATTGCCACCCATAACTCAGAGCGTGACTTGGCTGACTAAACTCGAGAGATTGGGTCACTTGTTTATTTGTTTTGTGTTTTTTTTTATTTTTTTGTTTAATTTTTGTAAATTAAAGGGACGCTCCAAACTTGAGACATCTTTCAAAATTTTGAACAAAAATATTACCATATTGAAGAAAATCTTTGAGATAATGAGATAGATGAAATTAATGATTAACTAATTAAAACCCCTAACCCCAACAAATTTTTTATGACCTTATGTCTATTATTCAATATTAGGGTTAATCACATTTTGGTTTAAGAAATTCGGGATATTTTGGAAAGTCATTTGTGCTACATGGCAATGTCTATTAGTACGTAATTTCAATAATTGGTCGATTTGTAATATAATATGTTCGGCTTATTGCCCCTTACCATTTATTTACATGCTCTGTATTTCAGTTCATTTCGCCCTTCGATTTGTAGTTCAAAAAATAGGTCTAATTATGCATGTACAAAAAAATATGATCCATTTTTCCTTATTATGGGTTTGCACACAATCACTTTTACATTGCATCACCGTCATGCAATTGCATGTTTATAATGCAAATGGAGACCGATTGTGGGCAAAACTGTTCAAACCGTAAACGCGAAGCTAATGACTGTATATTGGAAAGAACAACAAAAGCAAGTAACAATTTCATTATGACCCTAGGATATGATTAAAAATTAGGATTAACTAATTATGGTTAACGAAATTGGCTATATTTTGGAATGTAATGCACACTTTCGGGACAACAAATTTGTAATACCAAGTATTTTCATATAAATGGTCTTTACCGATTCTAATATGTTCAAATAATTGCCCCTTACCCTTTCTTATGCATTATAGTTCGGATCACCGCCTCCTACATAAAATTTTCATCCAAGCACGCCCTACAAGTCCTAAAACGTTTCTCAACAACACATACATAAAACAATAATATGTCAGTCATATGAAAGCATATTGTCCATCATTAAATCTACATTTAATATTAATTGTTACATGTAAACCAAGTTCCAAAACTACAATTGTTTTGGGTTGAACCAGTACATAGGGAATTGGGTTCATCGTTGTCGAATGAGAAACCATCGTCACTGTTGAGAGTAGAATCATTGGGTCTGCAGTAGAAAAACTATCAGAACCAGACAAATCAACCACATAGTTGCCTCTGCATTGAGAAACCTTTTGACTAGGATAACTGTAGCTAATGTCCGGGGACGGCCCTTTATCATAACTATACTGATAGCTTTCACTACCTGATGAGATATTCACACATGCATTTCTACTTGGATGCAACTTTCTTTGAGAGCAATTACGCTTTGTATGTCCATATCCGCGACACAAATGACATTGTCAATGTTTGCGCATTCCACCTTGCCTTGCTTGAGTGCCTTTTGTCTTAACGATATTTGGATCTTTCACAATATTTAGAGGACATTGCTCAACAGTACCCAATTTCCTACTTGTCTCTTCTTCCTTTTGCTGTAAGCCTTCACAAATTCCCTCTCATCTACTAAACTCATTCATCAACATGGCATAACCATCTGTACTCTTCGATGCATAAACATACTTTGTTTGACATATCACTTAAACTTCCATACCTCGCCATTTCTACAACTTCGTTGGTAGTGTCTTCGCCTTTGCCGATAAATTCCATACATGTATCAGTTTGGGCACTCTTTGTCCATCTCTTCATTATGAGTGCTGGAGGAATTTCTGTAAGGTGCTCACACTTCATTACATAAAACAGGTGGCAACACGGGATCCCTTCACTTTCATATTTCCGGCATCCACACTCTATCCGCATATTTTCCCCACCGTGGTAAACACAAGTCCAATTATTATGCGGTTCACCATATTTTGACAATACGTATACACGACCTTCAAAATTATGCATCACATTATCATAGGTGAGTGTTGAACAAGATTCAATCTCATGACGTACCAATACAATGCACCTATGCGTGTAAATCAGAGAAGCTTGTTGCTCGAGTTTTGTCAATAAGACGTAACATAGCCCTATCAATTGCTTGAATACATTCAAACAACTTCACCCATTTCCTCAAATAATCTTTCACATACTTGTTCATGGACTCCACGCGTTGAGTGGTGCACATACCACCGAGAAACTTTCCTATCATACATGATTCAGCCCATGGGTCTCTTTTTACATACATCATTTCCAACCATTCTTTTTGTTTCGGAGTACTCGCTCTTTCCCTCAAAACCTCCCATTTTTTCTCAAACTCGTCCAATGCAAATGGTTCCCAAATACATGCCTAAAAATTTCTTAGCAATTCATCATCCTTCAAGTTATTCTGTGCATTCCTTGACACATGTTATGAGCATAACCGATGGTTAGACATGGGAAACACATCATCAATGACTTTACGCATCGCCTCATCGCCATCTGTCAATATTGATATTGGCTTCTTATCTTTCATGGATGTCATGAATGTTTCCAATAACCACTTGTAAGTTTCAAATGTCTCATCCTGCAATAATGCACAACCAAACATTACAGTAGAACGGTAGTTGTTCGAACCGACAAACAACACTAAGGGCTTGTCATAAACATTTGTTTTATACGTGTTGTTGAATATGAGGACGTCGCCATAGGCAATGTAATCCAAAAGTGAAATGAAGTCCCTCCAAAACATATTACCAAGCCTATTTTCCTCGTCAACACTGAACTTACAAAAGAATTCTGGATCCATTGCTCCTTTCGCTTTCAAGTAAAAGAATGCAGCTTCTGTGTCACCGTCGAGCAAACTTTCTCTGCGTGATACATCCAACTTATTGTATAGATCATTTATTTGAAAACCAACATTTAAATACCTGCCACATTAGTCGACCATATACTCATATGTTTGACATGTTCTAAACAATGCTCTTCGCATTCCCACTGCTTGTGCTAAATCGGAATTTTGAACGACATGGTTACATCGAAGATATGACGATTCAAGTGGAGTAACTAGTTGATGATTGTGATGTGGTTCAAAATTCGTACCGACGTAAACATCATGTTTCTTCTCATAACCCACCTAAAAATGGGCAGAACAATTCTCTCTTGTATTTGCCTTCGGTGGTCGAATCCTATCTGATCGATCTTTAAACTTTTCATTTCTCAAACCTTCTTTAGAACAACACCACCGTCTCCTACATACTTTCCCTTCTGAATTTCGAACCAATTTGTCTTTTCTCACGCTAAATCCAATGCCCTTTGCATAACTCATATAATATTCTTCCGCTAATTTTATCATTTTAAACTCTTTCCCCATAACATCTTTTTTCCTTGGTGCAATTATGTCACCACCATAATCATCACTACTTTGACTAACCATATGTTCGATCGGCATATGCCCACTCTCTGTTGCCGGTGCCTTGTGACTCGACCTTTCACAACCACCCAGATACCCTGAATCACTATAACCACCATTTGATGTCTCTACACCCCTGTCCATCTTACCAGACCCCCTCCATGCCTGAGAAACATAATTTCAAATTGAAATTACATTATACTCTATGTGCTAACATACTTTCTCTTAAAAAAACACAAATGAATAATCTCATGCAATTGCACATACTCAGGTCAATAATTGCACCACGTATAATTGTTTCGCAACTAAAAACATGCAATTGCATCAACTCATTGCCCAAAATACATTCAAGTCCTAAACCAGAAAAAAGGGTTCTTTGAAATCTTACTTGATGTTTCCATACTTTCAAAGCCTCCTCCTTACACTTCCTTTTGCCACCAACTCAAATGTCGTAGTTAACATCCAAGGATCTTCAAAATCTTTACAACCACGTTGTTATTACAAATCCATTCCCCTACGAAATTGAAATTCTATATCAGACAATGCCAACAGAAGAAACTAAATTTATTAAATACTTCCAATTTGGTGACGATTTCATCATGGAGGTTGGACCCACCATCAATTTGGTATCTACATATGTGTTTTGGGCAAGCAGAGAGAAGAGTTAAGGACCTCAATTCAATGAGTATTACCTTGTTGCAGATGCGTTTTGCCCAACCATAGACAAGAGTTGGACGCGCTTAAGATGGATTTGGGCAAGTGAGAGAGAAGAGTTCCTGGCGAAGCAGAGCCAAGAGTTCGTCGGCAAGCAGAGACAGTGGGCAAGCAGAGAGAAGAGTTCTTGGAGGCGCTAAGGATTGAAGTTGGGCAAACAAAGAGAAGAGTTCCTGGAGGCGCTAAGGATTGGATTTGGGCAAGCAAAGAGAAGAGTTCCCGGAGGCGCTAAGGATTGGATGGGCTCTTAGGATTTCCGATTTAGGCAACCAAAGAGGAGAGCGCGCGTCTTCTTCATCCTCCAAACCTGCCTTTCTCTTTCCTCACATGCCACTCACGTGTTTAATAACTAGGGGTCAACAGGTTACTAAGTCATTGAATCTCAGCCATCCTTTTTTAACATGGAAACTCAGCCATTGGAATTTTCGCTACTTTGTAGACGTCCTGAACTTCGTCCCCAGTTGCAATTGGGTCCGTGAACTTTTTTTGGAAGCAATTACATCCTTTTAACTCAACAAGTAGTTCGAATTGAGTCCTGCCATTATAGAATCCGTCGAGTTTGACAGTGTGAATGGCACGTGCTCTTGTTGTGAAGGGTATATTGGAGTTTTCACGATGACCAGCTATGTGTCTTGTTGTAAACCTCACGATGGCCAGCTTCATTTGCAGATTGGATGGTGCGCAACCTCATTTAGTAAACATTCAATTCCCAAAGAAAGTGAAACTCCAAGTATGTGTTAAAGTTTCTGCAAGAGAATTATAAACCAGTTTAGAAGGGTTGAAATTCAACACATTTATAGAGAGAGGAATTCTGTTGCAGATGGTTTAGCTACTTGGATTCACAACCTCGACCCGGGATATTGGTACCTTGATGAAAGTCCTGTTTGGCTTGGCAACTTGTTGATTGATGATTCGCTGGGGGCTGCTAAGGCCCATTTGATTAATGTAGTGTAGTCTGTGTGTTTGTTATTTTGGGGTTCTTTAACCTCCTCAAAAATTTGATTTTGACTAATGGGTTTTATTTTTTCTCACCAAAAAAAACAAAACAAAATCAGCTTGTTGTTTTCTATATGGATTTCAAGCTTGATGAGAGCTATACACCTTGTAAGATCTCAATTCGTGCTGGGGATGGCTTGCGCTTCTTGTCAAAGAACGAAGACTGACGGCTAGCCAAAGAACTTCTCAATCTTCTCCACGTCGCCGGTGGTGGTTTTGAGGGTTATGTGGTTCAGACATGAAACAGAGCTCAAGTTAAAATAGGGGGGGTTGAGTTTTTTTTTAATTTTTTATCTGAGCTTGTTTGTGGTGTTGTTCATTATGAAATTAAAAGCCAAAACCAATAATGGGGTTTTCTTTCTTTTGAGGGTGGTGTGTGCTGGGGGGTTTTGGTTTGTGTGATATTTTTTACTGGGGATGATGGAAAGGCAAAGCAGGTGGCATTAGATGAAATTAAAGGTGAAAGAAGAGGGAAGGAGGGTGGCAGAAAATAGACCCGATCTAAGCGGGTGAGTTGGAAGAAATGATGTTGGAGGAGAAGGAGAGCTTGAGGGGGATGGGGGTGAATGTGGAGGAGAAGGAGAGGGTAGAGGTTCACACGCGGGATTATCCAGCAAAGGAGACTGTTCGAACTCAAAATGACGTTTTTACCCCTCATTTTGACGGACAAATTGACATAGTTGGATGGCAGGACCCAATTAGAACTACTTGTCAAGTTAAATGATGTAATTGCCTCAAAAAAAGTTCACAGACCCAATTGCAATTGGTAGCAAAATTCAAGGACATCTACAGTAGATAACCCAATAGGAATACTTTTACTACTACTCCCACCTTGATAAGTTACAGTTTGAAAAACACATCCTTTCTCACCGGTCTTATTCAAGCCCTCAAGTTTCTAGTGGGGAAAAAGAAATGAAAAAGCTTTTACTCAGCATACATGGCTAACACCAGAAAATAAATATAAAAAAAGCTGTAAATTACATCCTTTTCAAGTTCCCGAAGGAATGAACTGCCTCAGACTCTGGCTTAGTAAGTATAGCCCTTGACGAACATTCCTTTCTTGGCTTCCTCATCCTCACCCTCAGCAGAGTACCTTCCTAGCTGAGCCAAGGAGTTCGCCTTTGCTCGGACCAACAGTGCCCTTTGTGCAGCTTCCACGTTCTCAGGATGTCCTTGCCATGCCTTTAGCACAGAGTTCTGCAGAGCACGTGCATACGAGAAGGAAACATGCCATGGGTTGGGGCTTTGGTTCATTGCATTGAGGTTCAGGGTTGCTTCTGCTTCGGATTGTCCTCCTGACAAGAACTGAGAAGCAAAGAGAGCAAATATCAATCAGCCCATGGATCAAGGCGAACAAATATCATGAGTACTACATTCTTGTAATATATTTTAATGGGGAAGAGAAAGTGAATAAATAGTAGTACATTGTTGTATTGTTTGCAACTATAAAAGACCACAAATATTTGTATTCTATAAAACGACCGGAGCACAGGCTTTCTGTAGAGACTGAACATATAGCTACTTAAAAGTATTTTTCCCACAAATCTCAGTAGGTTTTATAGAAGTGCCTATTCGTCTTCTATATAATAAGAGAAGAATAGTATAGTTAAAATTACTACAAAGTGATAGGTAATCTTACCATGATTCCTGGTACTGCAGGAGGAACTCTCCTTTTAAGCACTGTGAGTGTATGTTTGGCAATGGTCTCTGGAGAAGCCTTTTCCTTGTGTTCAGCCCCTGGGGTTACCATGCTAGGCTTAAGAAGGATTCCTTCAAACACCACATTGTTTTCAGCCAAGTAACAGAAGACTTCTGCCCACACCTTCTCTGCCACTTCAAGTGTCCTTTCTATTGGGTGGTCCCCATCAAGAAGAATCTCAGGCTCTACAATGGGCACAAGACCATTGTCCTGCACATAATGGCATAGCAATGAATCATGTATGTTTTATACCAATGACCAACGGGTAAAGAATTAAAAAATACCTACAAATTCATTGTTAAACTACTTTCTAAACAAAAAGGCAAAATACTACTTTTATTTTCAGGATAGCAAAAAAATTATCACACTCGTACTCCGTAGGCAGTGATTGGAAATCCAATTAACATAGCTGTCTAAAGGTGAACATACCTGAGAAATGGCAGCATAACGTGCTAGTCCCCATGCAGCTTCCTTAACAGCCAGAGCAGAAGGACCACAAGGAATGCTAACAACTGTGCGCCTGCACATTTCAAGGAGAGGACACTCAGATAAATTTATCTGTCAAATAGAATAGATCAACTGGACAAAAATACAAACTCTATACAGCAGTTGTCCACAAGAAATATTAATTGACTTACCATTTAGCAAAACGAGCACCTTGCTTGTAGTACTCAGCAGAACGTGAAGCCAATCCATCTAAGCCTTGGCACCAAGATTCATTGTTTGATCCTGGTAAGGGAACCAAACCCTGCAAGGGCAACCAAAGAAACACATCAATGACAGTTAGGGATCTCACCCAAAGTACTTACAGAAATTTCTCAAGCTATAGAACACATATGGTCTAGCGGCACCATACCTTATCAACTTTGATTCCGGGTACAATTTTCTGCTCGCGCAACACGTCCACAAATTTCTTCCCATCTGTTGTTGACTGGTAAAGTGTTTCCTCAAAAAGAATGGCACCTGAAATGTATTCGCCTAGGCCAGGAGTGGTCAACAGAAGTTGCCTGTAAGCCTGTCGGTTAACCTCGGTATTGTCCAAGCCAATAGAGTCTAACCTCTTTCCACAAGTTGCATTTGATTCATCGATGGCAAGTATACCACGACCAGGAGATGCAATAGTTTTCTATAACATCCAAAAAGAAACAAAAACCAGTTAAAGAAAATGAAATAAGATATTGAGCTTTCCACAGGCATAAATACATATTGTATGTATACATATATTGCTTACTAAAACAAAGTACAATTTGCCACTGATGACTTGAACCTATAAACTCCTATGGAAACACACAGTTACTTTTTTCTTTTTTTTCCACAGAAATATCCGTTGTTATGTTATGCAAAATTGCAGTTTTAGTATGCTGTCACATGGGCTTAGAGCTAAGAACTTTTAAAGCTGTGACGGAGAAAACAATAAAAATAAAATACAAGTAGTCTGAAGATCAAACCACCATATTAATCAATTTAATTAACCAAATCATAGCGGAGAGTTAGAAACAGTTTAATTCGATAAAGCAGTGAAATCTCAAACTTATAAACTTGAAACACATGCATATCCTCCAAACACAAAATCAAATCAATACATCAAAAAATAACAGATTAATAAAAAGTGATGATCAGATTCAAACTTTTAACCAGCGATGAAATCAACAACAAAATCTATGTGTATGTATAGTGATGAAATGGAAATAAGGTAATAGAGGACGCACAGCGGTGAGGATGAGTTCGTCGGTGTAGGCCTTAGCTCGGATCGGGACGGCGACTCGGCGAGTAGAGAGGCTGGTGGACGATCCGTGGCGCTGAGTGAAGGACTGCTGGCCGATCCACTGAGACGACGCCGCATTAAGCTTCGCGAGGCTCGAACAGGCCATGGCTTTTTCGAGAGTTTACTTGGAGGCGTCGACTGATTATTTTTCCGGAGAAAGTGTTTGGTGGTTTGGTTAAGTCTGACTCTTGGGTTGGTGGCTGAGGGAGAGAGAGTGATATAATAAGACGACGTTATTCTTGGAGAGTCCGCGGCTGCCTTTACGAGTTGTAATGGTACAAGGATCATGCGACACTACCAAACGGTCCTTATTGTATCAATTTGTGATTTACCAGATTGCCCTCTGTCGAATGACTGTATTATCGTTGGAATGATTTTGGACGCACTACAAATCCATCTTCGTTGAAAATCGGGAGTGGTACCCTTACAAGTTTGCAAACGCCAAGGAAAATGAATTTGGGAGATATTTTGGGTTGGGCCATCACGGGCCTCACCTAACAATTGACAACTTGCAATGCGGCTTGATTAGGTGGAGGAGGGAAAAAAAAAGACAAAATTAGTGAAACACTCAATCCTAGACATGAAATTATAAATATACCAAATCTTATTTAAAACATAGAAACACACTCAAAATAAAACCAAAAATCAACAATTGTATATTTTTTGGGTGTGTTTATAAATGGGTTTTGAGTGTGTTTAATAAATGAGTTTTGAGTGTGTTTAATAAATGAGTTTTGGATGTGTTTATAAAGTGTTTTTCATGTAGAGTTTTTTTATAATTTCAGCCTCTATTTTTGGTGTATTAGTGAAACTCCAAAAAAATAATAATAACAAAGACCATCTCCTTCGTGATTCACGATTGGATGGCAAAATACAACTTAGGCCAAGGGGGATTTATTTTCTTTTCGGTAAAGGCCAAGGAGAATTTTCTTCTAAAATATAATGAATTAACATTTTTCAGAATATTAAAAACAAAAAATGATGTGATATTATTTTTTTATCATAACACTATTTTTCGGTAACTTGTTGGAAAATGTTGTATATTCCTTTCGTGTTATTTAATCTTAACGTCGCTACCTATTTAGTTGCATAACATGTTGACATGCTTTTTTTTTTCTTTTTTTTTTCTGCTTGCATGTTTTTGTTTTTTCCTTTCGTGTTGGTAGGTGATTTTCAGGGCCAGCCTTGAGATTTGGTGGCCCAAGGCAAAATAAAAAAGAAGGCCCTATAAATGCAAAAGTACTTATAAATAAAAATATTTGTTTTGATTTATACGTGTGTGTATATAGAGTGTAGACCTTTTACAACTAGTAACAAAAATTAGGCCTTAAAAAAATTCATTTTACTTGTGGAAAAGTTTAAAAAATTTATATATAAAGTAATGATTGAACACAATGAAAAAAATTTGAAAGAGATTGGAAGAAAAATATGACATTTTAAGTAGTAGAATGCACCAAAGGAAGGAAGACGGGTAGAACAATATATGTTAATTATATCAACCACAAATTACTCCTTCCAAAGTCAACCACTGTCCTTTTCTTTTTTCCAAAAAATAGTCTATACATTTATAATAAGAACATCAACTCATCAATCATCATTAATATATTAAAAAAATAAATTTGAAGCCATATTTCTTAACGCTAGTGGACTTGAACATAGATTTGGTTTTAATAAAATCAAAGAGAACCCATTAATGCAAGATGGAACTTCAGAAATCTTGATGTTAGCTTCTTATATATACTCTAGACTTAGTATACTACTGTACCTCATATTAAAAAACTATTTTAAAAGCAACTTTAAAAAAAAACAATAAAATAAATAAATATTTTGGGCCCCCACTTAAGATGGAGTCCAGGGCAGTAGCCTTTCTCGCCCTGCCTCAGGGGCGGGCCTAGTGATTTTTGTTTAAACGTTATTATTTTTTTCTTTTATTCACGACCGTAACGTTGGTGGGTGACTTTTGTTTACACGTTATTCTTTCCTTTCATATTTGCAACTGTAACGTTGTTAGGTGGTTTTCGTTTACACATTGTTATTTTTTCTTTAATGTATCACAATTGTAACTTTGGTAGATGGTTTTCGTTTACACATCGTTATTATTTCCTTTCATGTTCGCAACCGTAACGTTGGTAGGTGGCTTTCGTTTACACGTTGTTATTCTTTCCATTCATGTTCGCAATCGTAACGTTGGTAGGTGACTTTCGTTTACACATTGTTATTCTTTCCTTTTATATTTGCAACTGTAACGTTGTTAGGTGGTTTTCGTTTACACATTGTTATTTTTTTCTTTAATGTATCACAATCGTAACTTTGGTAGATGGTTTTCGTTTACACATTGTTATTATTTCCTTTCATGTTCGCAACCGTAATGTTGGTAGGTGGCTTTCATTTACACGTTGTTATTCTTTCCATTCATGTTCGCAATCGTAACGTTGGTAGATGACTTCCATTTACACTTTGTTATTCTTTCCTTTCATGTTCGCAACCATAACGTTGGTAGGTGACTTCCGTTTACACGTTGTTATTCTTTCCTTTCACGTTAGCAATCGTAATGTTGTTAGGTGGTTTTTGTTTACACATTGTTATTTTTTCCTTTAAAGTATTGTGACCATTACGTTGGTAGATGGTTTTCGTTTACACCTTGTTATTATTTCCTTTCATGTTCGCAACCGTAACATTGGTAGGTGGTTCGCCTTTACACCTTATTATTTTTTCCTTTAATGTATCGCAACAATAACGTTGGTAGGTGGTTTTCGTTTACACGTTATTCTTTCCTTTCATGTAATGTAACCGTAATGTTGCTATCTATTTGGTTGCATCATACATTGCCATATGATGTACACATTGTTGTATTTCCCTTTCGTGTCTTGCGACCATAATGTTGCTACTTATTTGGTTGCATCATACGTTGCCACGTAGTTTTTTGTTTACACGTTGTTGTTTTTTCCTTTCGTGCCTGATGACCGTAATGTTGCTACCAATTTTGTTGCACCATACGTTGCCATGTGTTTTCCTATTTACACATTGTGTTTTCTTTTTATATATCACAACCGTAATGTTTCTACTTATTTGGTTGCCTCCTAATTTTCTATATGTTTTTTTGTTTATGTGTTGTTTTTTCCTCTCATGTATCGTAACCACATAACATTACTACCTATTTAATTGCATATCATACGTTGGTATGTGTTTTTCTTGTTACACATGAAATGTTATTCCTCGGAGAAATAGTTCCCTCTTTGGAGTTTAAATGATTCTTTAACTCTCATCTCATCCATTCCCAAGGATCCAATTATTGTTCATCTTGTGGTCCTTAATACTACGAGTCTACAAACATGTAGTTTATTAAGTTGTAGTAATACAAGCAAACAAAGCATATTATTACACGTTAGTACCATTACGAGGATTTATAGGTCTAGTAATTCAACTCTCAACTTGCTTTTTCTCTTAATTTGGTATACGTGTCACAATCTGCTATTGCCACACAACTAGCATCCAGAGACAATAATGCAGCCCAGCTACACCACATCATTCCTCAGGTGTATTGGTGGTGAGCACATTTAAGATGCAAATAAGATAAGACCAAATATATTTTCCAGCAATTATCCCACATGACCAACACATTTCATTCATGCAACCATAACGCGCCAAAGTGGCGGTTGCCTTTACACTAAAGTCTTAAAAAGCCCCAAAAGTGAAATAAATTAAAACGGCCTCACATCCACCGAACAATAAACATAAGATAAAAACAAATTTGGATTACGGCAGCATATCTTAAGCTGTAAATTAATCAATGTAGGGGGGCCAAAACTAAGTTCCCTTACATCAATTACGACCTGTATATTTACTACGTGTTGGTGTTCATGGCTAAGCTGGCAACCTATAATTTGGGACCTTCCAAAAACCAGAACGTACTGGGAAGTTCTCGCGTCAACTCTAGGGCACATTACATTGCCCCCATTTCTCTCATCTCACACTTATATATATGCACTAGATTTCACCCTCTTGCTCTGTAACCAAAAGGTGTTTGAGGAAATTGCTCAGTGAGAGTGACTTGTCAGACATGGGCGTGTCTTTCCAGGTTGCAAAGACGGGTACGAGGTACAAACAAAAGGTGCTTCCGGAGGAGGACAAAGACAACGATGAAGATGACTCGGTTTCTGACTCTCGGGATAGAGATGACGAGGTTTGTGGATGATATAATTTTTTCAACAGCCAACCCTTATTCAGTCTGTTTCATTTTCTCTGATTGGTTTGTTTTTCTTCATTGTTATCTTAGTGAGTGTCTCAGTTGGATTTTGGGTTTTCTGATTTTGGTGATTTCAGGTTTTTATTTACAATGGGTTTTTGTTTTTCTGTAATTGATACTTGTGTCTGCATTGCATGGATGAAGCTGAAAGTGTGGACTTTCGTCTTCTTCTTTTTTGGGTTTTTTGGTCCCCCGTCTTTTGAATCAGTCTACTTATTTTCCACTTAATTTTGCGTTTGGGAGCTATCTCTGGGATTTGGGAGGGCAATAGATAAGTCTGTAAGTGGTTTGATACCTTGGTGCCCCTGAAATACATTATCAATTGCTTGTAAGGTTTTTAAATTATTAAATCTTCTAATGGTTGGTGATGGGTAAGGTTGGTCTTCTAGGTGCTTATTAAGTCAACAATTCTCTAGTAGACCTGAACATTTTTAAATTTTTAACATGTTAAGGCAGGATGAATCCGGTGGCTCTCATCAAAGGTTGAGCTATTCAACTATACCACGTTCACTCCCTCCTCTTCTCTCCCCACCCTTTTATCATTTTATTATTCCAGAAACTAGTCTGCATGAAGTCTTAGCATGTAATTGTGGTGAAGGTTCATTCTACTGGAATGGGAGCTAAGGTTGCTGATCCTTCAACTGTATTAGTCAATTTTCGACAGCATTCAGTTTCAGACGGTAATGTACCACTCTGATCTTGCAATCATATCATGTGCTGACTGAGAAATCTTCTTTTGTTGATAGTCCATTTTTGTGCAGACTTTGAGGTATCCTTTTCACTGAAGTTGTTTCAGAATGGCTTTTCTGTGGGTAAAGCTACTGAGGTTAGCAATCATTAATAGACGCTTACAGAAATTACTTGGCATTTATTAAACTATAGTAGCACATGTATTCCTTAACACAAACCTTAATGCTTTGGCAGTTTCTCAATGATATACCAGAGCACTTGCATCCATATGATAGAGTATCAGAGACACTTTTTTCTGTAAGTATGTTACATTATTTGCCGAAATGTCGAAGCAGTGACTTAAGTTTTTGTGAACCATATTATGTTAACTAGGATATGGCTCAGTCATTCTCCTTCCTGCTCAGATTTGACTAGTAAGATAAAAAGCAGAAAAAATTATACCAAGCCATGCTATCTTGCTGGTCTACTTAGATCTTGGAGGGTTATGTCATGTCCAGTGGCTTTTTTGGATGCCCGTGGTTGATGGGAAATTCCACTTGCGTGGCTTCATGTTCTTAACTGTCTATTTAACAGTCATAATTTCTTTTCTGCGTTTTTTTTTGCATCAGGCCATTGAGTGTGGTTGGTTACCTGGAGATATGTTTGATGGTTTACCCTGCAAATATGTCAATGGAGCCATCCTTTGTGAGGTGAGGAAAAGCTATAAGTCTGTGTTTTATATTTGTATTTTAACTGTCATTGATTTAGTGATCCTTGTTACAATGTTTGTTTGTTCGTTGGCAATAGGTATATAAGTTTGTCTTCTTTAAAGGAACCACAAGGTTTCCATCAGAAGATACATTTACTACTACTCTTCCATAGGTTATTCAAATGCCAACAAAAAATTTTATGCAATTTTGAATGATTGGAGTGTTCTTACTTGGACTATAAAATTTACATGAACTGATAGAGATGTTTTCCTTGCAGATTCAAGACTATCGCGGTTGTTTTATCCAAGGAAGAGCTGCCAATTCTACAAAAAAGATTCCAACTGTTCACAAGGTTCTCCTGCATATGCGCATGGAAAATGTTGTCAAGGACATCTTGTCGATCTCTGATGCTTCTTGGACCTATAATGATTTTTTGGTTGGTACACTTTAATCCTCAGCTTTCAACTCAAGCATATTGCTTCATTCTCATATTCAATTCCTTGTTCTTGTTCAGAAAGTTGAATCTCACATTCTCAAGGCCCTGCAACCTGATCTTCATCTAAATCCACAGCCATTGCAAGGCATACACTCCGGACAACCCTTAAGCAAGAAGGTACTAGAAGTGATAGAATTCGTGTAACTTCTGCCAAATCATAAGGATTAAAGATAGTTCCAAATTGACAAATTGGGTTCTGCTTATTTATTGTAATGCTTACTTTATTTTCTGTACTAGTTAAATTTGTATTTGACTTTTTAGGCTTTAGTAGCGTGCCAGTTTTAGATATTTTGTGTGTTTTTTCATGCCCCAAGCACATGTTTAGTCAACCTTTGGATCTTTTTTGTGCATTTGATAAACTCTATCTAAATTTCAAGTTATGATTCCAATTGGGAAATATATCTATCTTTTGTTGAGCATGCATGATTGTAGTTGACTTGCAGGTTAGCTAATTCTTAACATTTTGTGGTAGGTTGATCTTGGAATTATGTGGAGCTGGAAAAAGCGAAAGCTGAGTAATGCATTAAACACTGACCTAGATTTCAGCAACTCATCTCATTTAACAGGCATTCCTGTTAATTGTGCTACTCAGAGTTGCAGCTCTCTATTTGGTCTATCGTATCAAGAAAGAGGAGTTACATTTTCGGAGCACAATGTATCAACCTCTGCTGTCAATCCACAAGAAAACAACGTTCTACTGGAGAACTCAGTATCCAATCCTTCGACATCGAAGCCTATATCTAAAGTAGCAGACAGTTGCAACCAGTCTTCTTTAACAGTGATGACCACATCTAATTTTGTCTCTTTACCCAAACGCAGCCTTAATGACTCTAATAATGATTTGAATAAACCCAGTGCATCGGTTCTTGGTAAGATAGTTAGATGTGATTCACAAGCAGTTCAAGGACCGCTTCTTAAAAAACTCAAGCAAGAGCCTATAGACTCATCTTATGAACAGCTTACTGGAAGCCAAACTGGAAACAGTCTTCTACCTTATCTACAGTGGAAGAACAAGCTGTTGCCTCAGCGGATAGGGGATGGAAAAGTTCCACATGAAAGATCTCAGGAGAAAGTGTGTCCCTCGAGGGTGATAAATAATGACCAGACAAGAAGGTTTCAAGGAATCTCAGAGCTGCAGGCTGGAATGGCTACTTCTAATGTTAAGTTAGAGCCTGACAAAAATAATTTCCTCAGTTCATATTTTAGAAAGATTAAAGATGGGGACTTTGTGATGGACAGGATGCTTGTTCATTCTAATGTTGCACAATCACAGAATCAACAGTCATCAACTCTATTTGGAGACAATATACCTGCTGATACATCATGGAAGTACATGGGTCAACCTGTTGACAAAAATATACAAAACAGAAGTGTCACTCACATGAGGAAGGATTTGGTGAAATGTCAGGTTACGACTCATGGAAAATGTGGATCTCCAAGTTCACCAAACATAAATTCTCTGCCCACAGAGGTATCTGTTCCTGCAAAGCAAAAAACAAACCCTGGTCCTAAACGCTCCAGAAAAAAGGCTGTTGATTCTAGTGCTGGCACGAGCAATATCTCACAACCATCAGAACTTAAAGTTGAACCTGTCCTTGAGAGGTTTTTGAAGATTCAAGCGGTAACTGAGAGGTAATATCATAGTTAAAGTCATGCCAATTATACTGCAATGCTTCTATTTCTACGGTCTTGCTTGTTATGACGTGTAACATTTTTAATGCATTCAGGTATGGACTACATAACAGGAAGTGTAAATTGGACACATCTGTGCAAAGGAGACCCTCCTTTCCCATTACTAAATTGGTTGCTTTCCAACTCTTATCTTCAAAAGATAATCAGTACTGGGATAATACTTCCACAGATAAAAATTCTCTCACAGAATGCTCCATGGACTGGGGACGCAGTATGAATAGGAGGGTATTGACTTTTCTACGTCAGTCTCACATCCCTCAAGGTGAGGAACTGCTAATTTTTGTAGCATATATGCATATATATGCACACACATCATATGTAATTTTTCACTCCTCATTGCTACCTTTCTGCTCTTTCTGAGTAATTCTATGCCATCCTAGAAAATGGGATTCCCATCGTTGATAGAAAGGCTCAGGTCAGACTGGTCATATCAGAGAAGCTTAATGAGGGAAGTGTCGAAGCAAGCGTGTTTTATGGAATTGAAAAAGAGGTGTTTTCAATTGATTATCCTCTCCTATCAGCCTTTACTAGCACTGTGAGTTGCCATTTATGATTATTGAGAGTTTCTTCTTCTGATATATGATTGTGATATTCCTTTTGGATTCTGGATTGCAATAAATCTTTTTCATTAAGCCCTTCACATCTATTTTGTGCTTATAAATTAAATTACACTGTGGTCTATTTTATATTGTAAAGCCAGTGATTTACTGATCATTCCTTTATTGCAAGTAACTACTGAGCTGTTTCTCATATCTTTTATGGACAACTTCTGAATTGTGGTGTCCCTTGTCTTTATTTGTTCTCTACTTTTCGACATTCTTACCACTGGCTTTCATCCCTTGGATTGCTCACATTAATGTCACACTTTCCTCATTCCAAATTTTTCATGTGGCAAACTGGCTTTCAACTGTTAGTTTATTCTGCTATTACTCTTGTAATTTCAAAAGTTAATAACTAGGAAAAGGGGAATCACAGGGGCCTAATAGTTTATACAAACTTTTGTATATTGTGAAACAAACAATAAATATATCCAGCCTCCATCAGAGAACTATAAATAATAAGAAAAGCAAAAGGAACTCAATTTACATTATCGTGTATCTGAGTTAAAAATATTGTTCTGACCTTTGTGTATATGTGCTTTTCAGAATTCTGCAGACCTTTTGGCTACTGAGTTCACTACATTGGTAGGTTTGTAAATGTTGGGGAATTTTATGAATTAGGTTTGGTTCTCACAGCATTAAGTGATACTTAGCTATTTACTCCTCTTTTTTCTTTCTTTCTTTCTTTCTTTTGTACAGATGAAGCGTGAGGGATACTACCTATCTAGTGATCACGTAGAGCCTACACCTCTCAAGGCTGATGGTGGCTTGAGCAATCAGCGTAGTGCTAGTATTAGAATTGGCACTCCATCCGCTGGAACAATCGAGCTACCTTCTTCAACTCTAACCCCAGAGATATCACCTTCAAGACTCAGTCCCGTATCCATGCAACTCCCATCACAGAATATTTTCTCTGGGGGCCAATCGCTCCATTCTGAAAACATATGGGCAGCTCTCGCAAATAGTTGTGTATCCAAACTACCGCACACCATTGCCGCACAAACCAATTGCATGATGCCGCAAGTCCAGGAGCTTCTGAATAGGCGTGCCTATTTAGTGTATCAGATGCGACAAAGAAAACTACAACAAAATGAAATCAGACAGACCAGATTGGAACTTGGAGGATCGGGTACAAGTGTAGGTGGTGGTATGACTGAGCAGGCTGGTAGAGCCCAGGGGCTTGGAAATGCTGGTCTTGGTTCATTTGGTAATGTCACAGGCATGAGGTCCTCCACTTCCCCTAGGGCATTGGGAGGATGGATGCCCCGGGCTGGAAATGTAGGCCAGTTTAACAATCTTGGTTGTGGAACATCTGGTTTAAATGACAGCAAGCCGCTTCCCGGTCTGATGTCTGATCGTTCAACGGGGCTTTCAAGTAAGTTGAGGGTAGCAGAAGGCCAAGGGATGAAAGCCTTGATGAGTGGGGCTCCAGTTCAAAAAAAGGCAGGTCATGGGGTTCCAATGGACATATCAAATATTCCAAACCTGGCTAGTAAATTAAGCAAGGAGCAGCAGCTACAACCGCAGGTGCATCAGCCAATCCAGCAACCACAAAAAGATATGGTGCAGCCATTACTCCAGCATGTAAGTTCACCTCAGAGTCAGGTTAGCCTTCGTCAACAATTTGACCAACAGTCTCAGGTGAGCCAGCAACTGAGCCCAGCGCCAGCACCACATCAGGTGAATGGAGATGTGGGTCATGGAAGTCCAGAGAGGAGCTCTCAGACTCATGGGTCTGTGGGAAGTATCAAAACTGAAGCTCCATGAGTGTTGTTTTTCTAGCTAGGGAGGGTAGTGTGGTGGTAGTTCAGTCATGAGTCTTTTTCTTTTGGTCAGTAGTTCAGTCATGAGTCAACACAGCAGGTAAGATTCAGGGAGAACAAGGCGGTGTACATAGGGCGGGCTTGTGCGATCATGTAATCACCAACATAGGAGGTAGGTATACCATTTTGTCGTCGTTTTTGTTTCCCTTTTACCTTTTAGGAGAAAGAAATGGGAAAAAAAAGAAAAATCAGCCTCATGTTCCAGTCTTCACTGTTTTCTTATATAATGAAAGTGTTGTTCGCCAAAACAAAATTTACTGTCCATTAATTAACTGTTCGTTTTAAGGTTTTAGCCAAGGATTTTTTTTAGGGAGTTTCACTAAAATACTCAAAATGAGGGCTGAAATTATAAAAAAAACCCAACACCCAAAACACTTTATAAACACACCCAAAACCCATCATTACACACACTCAAAACTCATTTATAAACACACCCAAAAAATATACAATTGTTGATTTTGGGGTTAATTTTGGGTGTGTTTCTATGTTTAAATAGTGCTTGGGTTTTTTTATAAATACATGCCTAGGATTGGGTTTATTTATAAATTTGTATTTTTTTTAACGAGTTGGCTTTATTTGTAAAGGTTATTAGAATGAATTTGATGCATGATCCACGCAAGCAATTTTTTTTTGGTCGGAGCACCTGTTTTGAATTGCATTAATCTAAAAAAATATACAAATTTATAAATAAACTCAATCCTAGACATGTATTTATAAAAAAATTCAAGCACTATTTAAACATAGAAACACACTCAAAATCAATCCCAAAGTCAACTTTTTGGGTGTGTTTATAAATGGGTTTTGAGTGTATGTAATGATGGGTTTTGGGTGTGTTTATATGTTTAAATAGTGCTTGGGTTTTTTTATAATTTCAACCCCCATTTTAGGTGTTTTAGTGAAATTCCCAAAAAAATAATCAAAACATTGTAATTATATATCTTTCAAATTGATAAAAGAATATTGTACTTCTTAATATATATATATATATATAATGATATTGAAGAGGAGAAAAATCGAATAAGTGGCGTCAAATGCAATGGTAACTAGTCTTATCTTAATATAGTTAAAGCTACAAACTCTTTGTAAACTTTATATCTTTTTTTTTTACAAGAGTAATATTTTAAATTATTCTAATGTGCACGGGTCAGGTTCAAATTTCAAATGAAGGGGACGGCTCAATACTTTGGTCAACTAACGTAACTCACATTTGTGGAAAATTATTTATCTTTAGAAAATTGTAGAATGAATTAATCGGACTACTTGAAAATATGTGGATAAGTTTCTAACACCACGTCAGAGCGTCCCCACACTCTAGTAAAAACCGTGCACGTCATAGCCCTCGGAGCTGGGTGGACCCTACATCCAGATCCAGCTCACACGTCCACTGTTAAGTGTTAACCAACGAACCACAGGAACCCCAAACCCTAACCTGCTGCTCAAACTTCTTCTTCTTCTTCATTTTCAATTCTTCAAAACCCTAGCAAATTTCACCAATTCACTCGCCCTACCTCTCTGGAAATCCACAATCTCTCTCTAAGCGTCCAAGACCATGTCTATAGACGGCTCAGCGGAGCGAAGAAAGCAACCAACTCAGACTCAGACGCCGAGCACAGGCAACGGGAACTGCGGCATTTCTTCGATGAGCTTGGCTAACAGGCTGAGACTGAACCCTAACAAGGAACACAAGCCGGACAGCTACGACGACCTTCATCAATTGGAGTTTAGTCCCTTGCTCTTCAGCTCGCTGGAGCGCTACTTGCCTCCCACCATGCTCAATGGTTCACGTGACCTCAAGCTCCAGTACATGAGAGACATTCTCCTACGCTACTCGTCCGAGAGTGAGCGCACTCGTGTAAGAAAATGGCAATTCTCTTCTCTCTCTCTCTCTCTCTCTCTCTCTCTCTCTCTCTCTCTCTCTCTGGTAAATGCTGGAAACTGAAATTGAACGTGAATTGTGGAAGTTTCGGATTCCGTGTTCTTTCATTTTTAATTGTGTGGATATGTTGAGTGTGTGAAATGAGCGGGCTGCACTTGCAATCACGACAGAATGTGCCATCTTTTTTAATTCTTCAGAAACGATGAGAAATTGGGAGAAAAGATAAGAATACGAAACGAAGATTTTGATAGACATGGGATTTTGGGGATTTGTGAGTATATGAAGCTCCATTCTTGTCTTAAATTTTGGTTTCTGATGGGGATTTTATTTCTGTTTGTAGCTGAAGGAGATAAGCTCTATAAATAATATATAGTTCTGAATACCAGGGCCAATGTGCTCTGGCTAATTGATCAAAGTAACGTCATTATGTTCCTGAGAGGCTCATACTTTTTCTCTGTTCGAATAAACAGGTTCAACGACATAGAGAATACAGGCAGAAGATCATCTCACACTATCAGGTGCGTTTAATGGCTAATATGCTGTTGACTTTTTGAAACATTCTATAATATGTAGACAACACCTTTATGTTTGAGTCTTGAAGTGATTAAAGTTAAGTCTCTTCTCTTTGTACTTCTGGAAATGTGAGCTTGAGTTTTCTGCATAAGACATACAATTGCATGCATTGACTTCCATACATACATACATAAATTTCCTTCTTAATTGTTCCTTCCTGTTGTAGCCTGTACACAAGGAGTTATACACTATGCAGGCTGCACAGTTCTTTGTCCCCTCATTTCTCAAAGCAATCAATGAGAATACAGAGGATAGCTTCAGAAGTATAATGGCTGAACCCGCTCCTGGAATTTATACATTTGAAATGCTTCAGCCGTACTTCTGTGAATTGTTATTATCCGAGGTATCATTTTTTTTATAAATGAATTTTTCCTGTATACTATCTTTTCTGTTTTCTTATCATATTCTGATTGCTTAGGTGGAAACTTTTGAAAGGTGGGTCATTGAGACAAATTTCAGAATCATGCGACCAAACACAATGAATAGATACGGTTGTGTTCTTGATGATTTTGGCCTGGAAACCATGCTTGACAAGTTGATGGAGGACTTTATACGCCCTATGTCTAGAGGTATTTCATCTTTAATATTGTAAAATCATAATTAGAAAAAGAAAAGGCACTACATATGAAACATTAGGACTAATGTTATACCTCATTTTTTGGTTGGTATTTATGTAGTTTTCTTCCCCGAAGTTGGTGGATCCACGCTGGATTCTCATCATGGTTTTGTTGTTGAATATGGAACTGATAAGGATGCAGAGCTTGGTACGTATCCATCTGAAAGTTTTGGATTTAGTTTTCTAAAATGAAATTTGTATTTGAAGCCCCTCTCTCTCTCTCTCTTGCTCTATACAGTTTCCACTCTTTCTGTTTTCTTACTCCAGGGAGTTATGCTCTAGACTGCAGCATAACACTGAGGCTTTAATATCTAAAGGCAGTTTAGTTTTTTATTTTATATTTTTTTTTTTTCCTTTTTTGAATCTTGGTTTAGCTGATATGATTTCTCCTTATTTATGTTTTCATTAATTGCGTTCAATTTGTTCAGTAATGTGTGTCTGTTACTTCCTCTGTCTGTCTTCATCTTGAAGCCCTGGGCGCTAAATTTATGGATTTTTAAGTTTTTATGACCACGGTAGCTTTATATTGTAGGTTTTCATGTGGATGACTCAGAAGTCACCTTGAATGTTTGCTTGGGCAAGCAATTTTCTGGCGGAGAATTGTTCTTTCGAGGTATTCGATGTGATAAACATGTAAATTCAGAGACACAATCGGAGGTACGCTAGTCTTTAAGATATTTTTTAGTACAGTTTTTTATGCGGCGTCACACTTTTCAACCTGCAGTAATACAAATTATTTAGTCTCGTATTTGATATCATTTTATTTCATGATAAATGGTAACTAGCAAGTTGCATGTTTATTTTTATATTTAATACTTTTTTACAGTTTACTGTGTAATTATTGAACTTTTTTCTTGGAATTTTTGTAATTGTACTCATAGGAAATCTTTGATTATTCTCATGTTCCGGGGCATGCGGTTCTTCATCGTGGTCGCCATCGGCATGGTGCTAGAGCCACAACATCAGGGTGTCGAGTCAACTTACTACTATGGTGCAGAAGGTACCTTTCTCCTCTTTGAGGCCCCTTAAAAGAAATTCAAAAAACCTAACTGAAGCATTTTAAGGATATCACAATCTCCCTGACTTTTAGTACTTCATGTATCTGCTCTATGTGGAATGGGTATCCAATTAATACAACGTACCAATTTGTTCATGGTTTGGTATCAGGTCATATTGAGTTTTTTCTTTTTGGGGTCAAGGATATTGGTTGTCATTAGGACTCTAGGAATTTTCTGCTTGCCGGTTGTTTGAGTAAATGACAATCAGTTTTGTAGAAGCTTTCTAAGTATTTCTTACAGTAAATGTCAATCATGGGGTTTGACTGCAAGGATTATCTTTAATTATGCATTTCTGTTTATCAATTTTCTCAGTGTGTAACCCCAATCTTTTTGTAGTTCGGTCTTTAGAGAGCTGAAGAAGTATCAGAAAGATTCTTCTAACTGGTGTGGAGAGTGCCAGCGTGAGAAGAAAGAAAGGCAGCGTCAATCTATTGCTGCCACCAAACTGGTAGTGAAAATTTGATATGAAAAAGAGGAAAAAAAAAACAAAACAAAATTCAGTGTGTTTTTATGCTTGGCTCACTTACTGCATCTGATTTTTTTATTTTTATTTTTCCAGGAATTGCTCAAGAGAGATGGAAAACCCACTTCTTGAGATGTTCTTTGTAATGGTTTTTTATCTTTACTGCCAATATCTTCTCGAGCATTTCATCATGTAACTTTTGCTTGTGAAGTTGTAAATTTACAAAAATCTCATCCTTATTTATATCATTAATATAGACTACACTACAGTTAGGCTGCTTGTTAGTAATATGAAGGGAGATTCACTATTTATACCCAACGTGATGTCTTTACAATGCTTCAGTGCTTCTGCAAGTTAC